TTAAAAATAATTAAAATGGGAAGGAATGGTCTTTTAAATCTCAGTGCACAGGAAATGGCAACTTCTGGGGATTATTTAATAAATGCACAACCACCGTGCCTAAAATGCCACCCTTCCACCCCACACACGTTTCCTGGGCAACGCCCGTCTCTTGCAGTGAAGGAGAGGAGGGCTTTGGGGAGCGAGGGTCGCTGTGCTGCAGGGGCCCAGAGCTGGGAGAGCTGTCCGCAGGGCTGTGCCTCTGCTTTTAGAGTTTGTTTCCTTATAGCCTCGAACGGCACAGCTCCAATCGCTCTCATCGTTCCCATCCTGGAAAACGCGGACATTTTCTTCTGGCCCAATGTAATAAAGCAGAGTCATAAAGATTTCAGACTAATAAATATTGGCCGTTAGGGTGCTTTCAGCTTTTATCAGGCTAATAAGATTTTTGACTTACATCAAAAGGCAAAGCAGGTAAACAGAGCTTTTATGAACCTCGAAGCCTGCGGGGGACCTGCGGTCTTGTCGGAGGGGCTCGGGCTCAGGCTCCTTTCCGTAATGAAAAGCACACGCAGCCTCCAGGCAAAACATGTTGGGAGAGCATTTCTGCAGATGGCTCTTCGTGGAGTATCTGAACTTAATTATTTGTCTGACACCAACCTTTCTGTAGGCATACAAGGACAGGGAGAGTTACGCCGTCCGAGTTACTCACTGTCTGTCTTAACCCTGTCTAACCGAAGGTGATGCAAATGGGGATCTCTCCTTCTCTCCGTGGGTTGTGGCCAAGCCCGTCATCACAGCTCCTAAACACACACAGATCCCCTCTGGCCAGCAGCACTAGCAGCTCTTCTCGGGTGTTTGGGGTTGGTTGTGAACTGGTTTTTTTATCACTGGCTTTTTATGGCTGATCATCAGGAGAGACGGACAGGATGTCGTTAAGCAGCTTGGTTTTAGGTATACGGTTTCAACAAGGAAGGAGGGAGTTGTTCAGTATAAACAGGCATAAACTTCATTATTTTCTAGAAATTAATTTTTATTTAAAATTTAAAACCATATTACTTCATACAGCAAACTGTGCACTTTGATATATCACAGTGTCTTAAAAAGGAAAATAATCAGAATTTTTTCTTTTTTTTTTTTTTTTTGGAAATTTTATTTACATCAGCCTAGAATGATCAGCAAGTAACACAGTTACTATGAAACCAAAATTATTACAAAATGTTTACAAAAAACTATATTCATAGAAATTCTGCATGTCCACAAAGGAAAATCCCCTGAATGTCACGGAGACCATTTTTTTCCTTTTTTTCCCACTCTTTTCTGTTTTTTTTTTCTTTTTCTTTTTTTGTCTTTTTTTTTTGAGAAACATGTCAAAGTAAGGTACAGACAGCAGAGGACTTGTGATGCCGATGCCCAGGAGCGCTCCTGCCCAGCCAGCCCTGGTGACGCCCGCGCAGGGACGTGCCGTTGCACCCCAGTCACTGGGTGTTGGGGCTGGGGGTCTCCCCACCGTTTGGCTGCATGTGGCTCAGGTTAGTCAGCGCTGGGTGACAGCTCCAGGATCTACGGGGTCCCTTTGTGGCGACCTTCCCCAAGAGCACCCATGCTGGCGCCCGGCCGAATCCCGCTCCGCAGAGGCACCCACTGAGGGGGAAGCAGTGGTTGCCCAGAGCTGGAGCTGGTTCCCCTTTGCATTTTCTGTCCCTGTGTGGATCTGTCGTCTCGACATCGTACCCAGCACATGCTGTTAGTTAACTCCAAACAGAAAAGCAACCCCTAACAAAGCTACCGCCGTGCCCCTGCTCTGTCTCATGGGAGAGCTGGAAGGAAAAAGCAAGTGATAAAGGGGCAGTGAACTGAGGTGACAGCAGTTTAGGTGCAGTGTAATAGCCCAGACCTGTTTTTTTCTTTATTTCCTCCTCACTTGTTCAGTCCCTCTGCCCACCAAGTGAAGAAAGGAACTGATTTAAACAAAGTTGGAAGTCAAATGATTTCGAAGACATGAGTCGTCAGTAGTCACAAGCAGGTCACAAAAGAGCTTGCAGAAGGCTTTGAGGCTTTGTCACCAGGTCTGCCCCTTCTGAGGTCTCCCAACACGTCGCAGCAAAGCATCAGGCTTGTCGCTCCTCCGCGATTAAGCACCGCATGGCTTACGGGCTCCTCCGCTCCCCAGGACGAAGGCAAGGAGCACGCAGGGTAAATGGGAATAACAGGAGAGACTCCAGTCTCTGTCAAGCAACGTAGCAACAGGCTGCATCGACAGTCAGTCTGGGTGGAGCTGCCCCTGGTTCACAGCAGGATGGCTGAGGTCTGAAGCCATCTCGCCTCCCTCAGCTCACAGTGAGCAGGAGCTAGCGGGGAAGGGGGGAGCCAGTGGTCCCCGCTGGGCTGAGGTCCCAGGCAGCTCCCCCAGCTCCTGCATTGTTTTGAGCAGTGCAGAACATTTCCTTGTTGTTAAATGTCAAATGTTTTAATGATCAAGATCTAAACATAAAACCACGATGCGGATGTGTGAAGTTAGCTGCTATTTTGTGGCTGATTTATGGTCAGTGCAGAGAGGGAAGGGAAAGGTTAATCTGCAGGGTTTGGTCTTGCTGGCAGACAGCACCAGTAATTCCAGATGTTCACATGTCATTCTGGGACATTTGTGAGTAAAATCAAATCAAACTGGTGTCAAAGATGAATAAATGGCATTTATGGTATTACTAATATTTATTTATTTTAAAAAAATCTCCCAAGAAGCAAAATGAATGCTGTTTTCTGTGGTATTTTACTCTCTGGACATTTAAAGCCAGTTTCAGGCTTTGTTTTTATCTGTGCCTTAATTGTAAAAATCTCTTTCTAAGACCTTAGAAATCTGCAAAGAAAACATAAAATCTACTACTCTGACAAGCCTAAGGATTTGCAAAGAAATACATAAAGAATGTCATTAGCTTTAGGAAGGACCCACACTTCCAGTCTATCCTCTGCTGTGGGTATTTGGTCAGCAAACTACTAAGGATATGATGCCCATTGAGTTGGCAGCTTTTGCCCCTGATTTTTCATGGTTTATATGAAAAGGTGAAAATTAACGTAAATTCTTTGCATATCTTTACTTGAGTCAAAATACGACAAACTAGCATTTTGTGTTTCAGGTCACTATATTACTTCTTTACATCACAGGAAAAACAAAATAAGGACAAATTATGGTCTTGCAGGGTGCAGGGGCAGCTATCTCCCCTTGAGCTAATTTGCTAATTCTGATCAGCTCCAAAGACAACCTTCCTAACTGAGCCTCAGAAAGAAACAGGTGGGAAAAAAAAATCTGAAATTAGTTACAAACAGGTTTGTTCCTTTGGGCGAGGATAAACTTTCCAGAAAGGCCTTGCAGCCAGGGGAGGGCAAACTGGGTCAGTTCAGCTGCTGGTTCCTGCAGTGGCTGTGGCACCTTGCTACGCTCATGACACAGAGGGCGAAGTTTTGGGATGGAGAGCTCGGGCACTGGCTGCTCCGTCCCCGCACTGCCCTGCCTGCCCTCCAAACCAGGATTTAGGCAGTGGATGCAGGAGGGGTTTCCCGCAGCAGGTCACTGTCACCCTTACGTGTGCAAGGGAAGGATGTTGCTCTTTTCTTCAACCAACTTAAATCAGAGTTTTTAAGCACCTTTGCAATACTCCGTGTGATGTTCTGGGTTATAATAGGCAGAGCCATTTCTGTTTGTTTCATTTTGCACATTAATCCATGGAGTGTCCCACTGGCCACCCATGCAGTTCCCTGTGGAGGGATGGAGCTGAGTGACAGTTACTTTACGTCAGCAGAGGGGTCTTTGGTAATTCTGACTAAATTCATCTGCAGGACCAGCTTCCTGGGTTAAGCAACCTGAAAATAAGAACACAGTTCATGGAAGATTTCTTAAAAACATTGTAGTGTGTGTTTGCTTAAATCCCACTGAGATGCTGCCTGAGGGGCTGTGGTTCACCGGGCAGAGCAGTGTCAGGTTTGGCTCACGCAGTGCTGGATGTCCCAGGCCAGCCCTGGCCCTGCAGGCTGGGACCTCGTCTTTCAGGTCTCTGACACCATGGAGAGCATTTAGTCCTAAAGCAGACAGACAGTCCTCACCTGGTCTGAGTGCGAACGCAACCGAGCTGTGGTGCAGTGCTGCTGAATTCCGTGGAAATTGGTACCCTTTGGCTCTTGGGAAAAGCTCTGCTCCTGCCGCTGCTGAAGCCTGTGGATTCGGCCACTTTCCACGCTTCTTCGCAGGAGAGACTGAGCTTTGCAGAAAGAGTGAAGGAACCGAGGACCTGGAGATCACTGTGTCACCCTGGGCACGGGCTGGAGTTTGGCATGGGGCGTGTGGGTCATCACTTGGAGATGGCGGTAGCTCCTGTGCTTGCTGCGCTCTTCCATCCCTGGCCAGGAGTTCAGCTCCCTTCAGGCTTACTCGCACCTTTGTAGTTGCTTGTCTTGGATCTACTGATGAACGTGTGTGTTGCCTTCTCCCACCACACCCACACATGGACTTCCAGCTGTGGATGGGCACGGCCAGCACAGCCGTGAGGTAAAGGGCCACCGTGAGCTGCTTCGAGAGACGGTACAGCCTCGACCATCACGGTGCTTCACAGATCCCTTTCCCAGACAATGTATCCCAAATGTGCTGTGTATGTCAGTGTGGAGTAGATGCTCACACAGACGGCTGCTCACGCTGCACCTGACAAAGTGTTTCTTTTTATTGCCATGCTAAAGAAGCCTTGCTTGGGGGCTCCTCTGTACCCACTGAGGGTCAGTTTGGCTCAATTCGGTTTCGCCTTCATGTGTTTTCAGTATGTAAACATCAGACTCCTGGATGGTAGTGTGTTTGGACTCCATGAGGCCTGTAGGATCTAAGCGTTAAAAAAAAAAAAGGAACAAAAAATAACAAAAACAAAACAGAAAAGCCCCAAGACCCATGTTACAGTCCGTGCTTTTAAGTTCTTGCTTCTATGCCGGTGATTGATGCAGCTGTGTCGTAAAGGCCTTGTTCTTGAAATGAACCAAACCAGGCTTTTTTTTTCCTGTTTTTTTTTTCCTGTTTTTTAATCCTTTCTTCCCTAGTTAAGAGTGCATCCAGCCTTGTCTGCTGCAATTCCTTCCCTCCCGCCCCCCGTTTGCATTCCCTAGGGAAACACAGGTGTCAATCCAGTGTTGCAGGTCATGTTGTCCTTCCCTGGCAGCCGTCGGTCGTTGAATGTGTGCATGTTGATCACGGCGTCCGTCTTCACCATGACGGGTGGCTGGGGCTTGTGTTTGACCCGTCGCTGGCAGGTGAGGGACAGCCGGATCTCATCGGCCATGGCGCTGCAGAAGGAGCGCTGGGGAGAGCAGGGACAAAAAGCACCATTACTCTTGGCAAAAGTTCTGCTCTAACCTCTCCGCGAGCAGGAGGATGCTGAAACTAGGCTCTGCAGAGGGCAAGCACGAGGTTTAGGTTGCATTTAAGGCATCAGCTGTGCTTAGTGGGACTTCAGTGATGCACGGGCGTCTGGTTGACCCCTCTTTCCTTTGGCAAGAGTTGTACCTTTGATGCGCTAAATCCTGCAAAAAGGCAGAGCTATAGACGGCTGTCGGAGTGCTGGTGCTTTGTGTGATCCCTGCTGGGGGTCTGGTAGCTTTATGTGCTGGGAATCAGAGGGCTATCGTATCCTGCTGGGCTTGCTAGTGGGCAGTTTTCCTTCATCTATCTAGTCCATCACGTGGGCAGCTTGCTTTGGTTTCTGGTCATGCACACAAATACGCTTCCCACTTACTGTACCACAACACGCAAGGAAGAGGGAAAAACATAAAAGCAGTCCTCTTGTTTCATGAGCCCTAATCAGCCAGTGCGAGTGGGACGGGCTGTTTGTATAAGTTGTGAAAAGTTGGTGAGATAGTATGAGGCTTCCTGGTGGACCCTGACCAGTTCCTTGAGGCTCTTTGAACAGGAGTGGGGAGAAGAGATGGAGATTTTGTGCGTGTATACATTATGCCTGGAATATGCAATACGTTTGCTTGTGATAGTGGTGTGTGGTAATAACAGCTCAGAAAGGTCCCTCCAAGGGTCCTCTGTCCGTGTTTTCCTGTGGTGGCTTGCTCAAAATGACCCTACTAGTAACTAGTCTAGTTACTGCAGCGACAGATGACCCTGGTCAGAGTAGACATGATTTGCCCCCTAACCTGAGGCTGTCAGAGAGGGACAGAGCAATGAGCCTTAGGGGACGGCATTTTGGGAGTGCTGCAGTTCAGCCCTTGGGCTGTGGGCGCTTGGACCTCCAGGCAGCAGAGGCAGGGCTGAATCCCTCTGCTCGTCTCCCTGCCTGTCTCTGGGGTCAGCGTGCAAAATCCTCAATGGCTGGGCTAGTGGTGGTGCAGGGAAACGGAGGAAATCAGTACCTGCTCACGCTCCGCCGTTTTGCGCAGCTTGTAGATGAACTCCACCATGGCCACGAAGACGGACAGCACCAAGCCTGCTGCCAAAACGATGAAAATCCCACCGATGTTTTGGATGCCCAGAGCGCTGGCCTCCTTGTTCTCATCCTCAGGGCAGCCATTGCCCCGCCACCACTTCTCCTTCATTACGTGGAGCTTGTCCTCCTCCTGGAGCTGGAGGATGGCAATGGTGATCTTGTCCCTGTACGGTGATCCTGGGGAGGGGGAACACTGTTACACACAGAGGGAAAGTGGGATGAAACCCACACAAAGTAGGGAATGTGTATGCGTTAAGCAGGGCTGTTCAGACCTCTCTTCAACAGGCAGACAGCGTAAGCTTTGGTACATGGAAGTTTGCTGTTGGCAGTGAATTATCTTAATCACGTGTGTTCTAATTGTGGTAACTGGCCCCCCTCTGGGGTACCTACAGAAACCCCACCACTGTCACTTACCCATGGGAGTCCCAATCCCGTAGCCTTTGGAATCGATGAGCCCCCCAATTTGAGTCAGGTTGCAGTTCCTCTGGGTGATGTATTCGATGGTGGTAGACTCCATCAGCAGGGCGTAATCGGCTGTGAGGGTTCGCTGGATTCCTTCCTCGTTGTTTTTAACAAGTGCTGTGGGTTTGCTGCTCATGAAAGCCCACATTTTTTCAAACGTGGAAATTTTGGATTTCTGGAAAAATGATAAACCCCACCCCCAAAATAAGAATTAATCTTCTATTTGCTGAAACCTGGTATCTTTTCAGTAAATAGTACCAGTTTGAGAACAGATCACACAGTGGAACTATTACCAGTTTGACCTTGTCCTAAATATCTCTCTCCTTTCACTGCCCAGCATTGTTTGGCTTCACCTTGCCATAACAAGAGACAAAGGTTCCACCACACGTTGTGCAGACACTCAGCAGAAAGACTCACTGCTCCAGAGACCTTGTGCTGTAGGTGGAACTGAACTGTTCGTTCCCTTCAATGAGGTACACCAAGACCCTGCCTTGGTGCCCTGCAGAACTTGCTAGTGTGACAGGCTATCAGCACATCTGTTTAAATGTATTCGTTTCCTAACCAGAATTTTTTTTGTCCTGTAATGTTTCTGCGCAGTGAGAGAAGACAAAGAACATTTCAGAGGGCATGTTTTTCTCTTTTGCACACCCTATTATACTTTCGTCTTTCCTCAAGCATCGCAAGGAAACATGTCTCATCTGAGATATGTGCAACTGCCAAACAAATTTAACGTATCCACATAAACAGAGGCATAGAAATATTCAAGAAGATTGTCTTATGGCTAAAAATAAACATGGATATTCTTTCACTATCAGCAGGCATTCTGTTAAAAACGGAGGAATATGTTTTCTAGCTTATTATTCATGTGAATGATTTTTTCTTCTTCTAGAAGATGTTTTGGGTGAGAAGAAATGTGGTTATTTTCTGTCTTTCCATAACTTTTGAAATATACCATTTATCTACGACCACCTGAATTGTCTCTCTGAAGGTTGTCACAAAAGACATAACTGGCTTTAGTTTGGAAAGAGTCCCCAGGAAAGGCACATGAGCTTTCTCTCGAAGTACCCCCTTTGGTGGCCACCTTTCCCATGGGTGAATGTAGCTCTCATCAAACCGGCTCTATACATCCAGTTGAGCTCTGGAAAAGCACCTGGATGTTGAGACTTGTGTTCATGCCGCTGCCTGCGCCTTATGTGCCATTCTTCTTCTCTGCCTGATTTCTTGTTTTTCCTAGATCTCTTTGCCTTCTGATTTTATAGGAGGCAGCTTAGTCAGGCAAAACCTCCTCCTCTACAGCACTGCTTAGCAAGAGCCTGAAACTGGCTGATAAGTTGGAGGGGCTGATAAGTCTTTGTGCTTTGCCTTGAATAAGGGTAACTGCTCACCTGCAGCTGCACGAGGAGTTGCTGTGGCAGGAGCTGCGCTTTCTGGTTTAGCTGTCGTTTATCTCTGTTTCAGGCCTCTGTCCTTCCATAAGAAAGCAGGAGATGGAGCCCCAGCCCATCCCAACTGCCGCTATCACATCTCCCCCTCATTTTTTCAGTATACGCAAAATGTGTCAGCATAGGTTCTTCTGATAAAAGCGCTATAAATAAGAGTAAGTTAGCTAAGAAAAAAAGTCCCTGCTAGTATTTTATATTTCAAATGCTTTGCCCATCCACCTTCTTTTTTTTCAGCACGTTTAACGAAAGTTAAACAAAAGCTTGACACCCCAAAGTGGGCTGGTGTAGCGCAGTGCCAAAGGTTGTTCCTCGGTCCTTAACCCTGTGGGCTCATTCTCCTGATTGAAATAACCACAGACTCATTTCTTCTCAGTTCTCAGTTAAAGCTCATGCTTGTTATAATCCACTTGATGAACGCGCAGTAGTAGATGTGCTGGAGAAAACTTCATTCAAGAGGCAGGATAATCTCCCTCACTTGAAAATCTGGACCAGTGCCTGTAAGGTAGATTTGTGGCATCTATCAAACCTCAAAGAGCAGCAAGAGATGCAGCCTCCAGAAGGATTATTAAATATCTGTGCATTACAATGGGTAATTGAAATGAATAGCATACTCGGCTTGCTGATAAGGACTTGTTTAACATTTATATAGTTCAATTCAGAGGCCTCTGGGTTCACTGGGTCTCCCTTTCTCTCCTCTTCCTGCATTTAATGCTCCTTGGGTGTTGACACAGAGCTCTTAAACAACATCAGTGTTCTCCCACTTTAAAACATAGAGCAAAATAAACTGGCAAAAAATCAATAGGCTGCATTTAGTGAAGCTAATAGGACTTGCATGAGGCATTGTAGCTCTTCAGGCAACTTAAATTACATGAGACAGGGCTCCCTAGAAGAGAAAAAACACTTTTCTCTTCTCTTCTTAAATCACCGCTTCTGACCAGCTGAAAGGACTTAATTGTGTTTTGAAAAGCCAGGAGGAGCCCAGCTTTCTCATCTCCAGCTGCGCTGCTTCGAGCCCCACTCTGGGTGTCCTGGGTGGGGGCACCCATGGCGGGGTGAGCACCCTCTCTGGCTGGAGCACACCAAGGCGAGGGCTTGCCATGAGGCCGGAGCAACCTGTCGCTGCTTGCTCACGCCTGCTGAAACAGCCGAAACAGAGGCCCACAGCAAAATGCCCTGGCTGCAATGGCCTCATCTCCTCTGGAGATAAGGCTGTGGTAGCTCCGTCAGGGAGGGCAGGTCAGGCCCTCGGTGCAGGCAGGGCAGCTCGACGCGTGTCTCTGATCAAGGCAATCTTAGGCTCTCCTTCATAGTCTAAAACCTGCCACCTCCTCACTGGGAATTTATTTCCTATTAGTTTCTTTAACTTAGCTAACATGAGATAAGAACACTGCTTTTCCAAGTGAAAATTCACCAACTGTAATTCTCAGCACAGCACTAGCAGTTTGATAGACGGGGCTATTTGTTAAAAGTCCAATTTAGAAGCAATTGTCAGTCATTGCAAGAGCAGTCATCAATCAAAAATTGCAGGAGTGACCATGGTGAGTAGCATACAGTGCTCCAGCTCACACCTAATTCTGCAGAGCTTCGACCACTATACATTTTTTCCTATTAGGGGAAAAGTTGTTCCTTTCTCCCTTTCCTCCTCTCGGAATACTTCAGCCATACTGCAAAGGTGGTTGGTTGTTCATGGGAATTTGGGTGATGTCACCTGAGAACGCACCATTCAAATAAACAAAAACATCTTAGCAGTAATTTAATAGTCAGTAAAGAATGCACATAAGTGGTGTTTATTTTGCTGGGCTTTTTTCGTGTGTGTGTACGTACTTTTAGTTTTGCTGGACCTTGATTTTACAGCTTAAGTAATTTACCTTAAAAAATCCTTGCTGGGGTTAGTTACTGGTTTGAACCGATATTTGCTGTGCTGTGGCTAGGTGCAAATTTCTTTTCTATGGAATCAGCTGCTTATGGGCTGCATAAAAGAAATCTGAGTTGGTGGCAGGCAGAGAGACCCTTTTGTGCCACTGCATCCTCCGTAGGGTCCCCAGGTCCCCCTCAATGACAATTTTGCTTTGCTGCCAAAGGTAGATGAAGAGGAACTGCTTGGTTGCTCTAAAGCATTAAGATAAATGGCCTGACACTGACTTCTTCTGGCAGAGAAGTTCCAGAGTCGGGAACTCCGGACCATCAGGAATGATGGAGATTATTGCTGATAACCAAAGGCGGTAGTTGAACACTGCTGATCAGTGCAGCCGTGGTTCAAACCAGGGGGATTGTATGTCTCTCCTGCTTACACCTCTCCCGTTGGTTCGTGTGAGTGGAGCTTCTCATTTTGGTCGGGACAAATAACATCAGAATCTGGTCTGCTGTCCTCTGCATCTTAATAAAACCCTGTGTTAGTGCTAAATGAGATGCAGGTATGAAAAGCTGAGTACCAGCCTCTGAGTGCAGCAATTGCAATGACACTGAGAACGCCTCTAAATTCATTCTTTAGAGTCACAGCTCAGAAGCTACCTTTAATAACCAATGCTTCAAGACCAGTCATCCAAATAAATTAATGGAATAGTTTAGAGGAGCCACTACAAGGCATCTTGCCAAGACATATATGCTTTTTTATCAGTGAAATTGGCAAGAAAGTAACTTTCAGGCTTAAGATTTTCAATTCCAGCCTGTATGAAAAAATAAATTGATTTTCACCAACTGAAGATACTTACTCTTGAGGATTTAACATTTCTGTACAAGTGAATATATATGTACACATGTACACACACTCTCACACTCCAAACTGCACATTAAACCCAGCATTTGTTCAGAGAGACAGCATCCTTTGCAAGATGTGAAGGATTTCTGGCATGATTTGTAATGAACGCTAGATGCTGTTCCTAAATTAATTGATCTGTATTTATTCCTGTAACTCAGTCCGTATTGCCAGGGAATAAATAGCTTCTCAAAAGTTCTTTTCATGAAGTCAAAATCTGCCAATACGTTTGGTAAAAGTCTCTCTTCTGCCTCCCTTTTGCAGTAGCTGGTTAGCTCAGCTGCACAGGCAAAACTTTGTGGGAGCAAGATTGCTAACTGGGGTCTGCCCCAGAGATGTGTTTTGGCTTCGTTCAACAGGGACCTTCTGCAGTGACTTCGGTGAGCCCTGCCTGAACCCTCGGTCAGCTGGACCACGGGCAGAAGACTGGTTAGTGCTTTGGGAACCGTCTTGGGGAACAGTGTGCAAAGCGTTTGCCTTCCTCTTCCTCCCGTTTCCTGTTGCTCCCTAAGCTCAGCTCCAGGATGGTGCTTTGCTCCTGCTGCCCTAGATCCTGCTTTGGAGGGCCACAGACCCAGGTGAGATCCAGCGAAGGACAGCGATGGCCACAGCCGCCAGCCACAGACGGAGGGGGCCCAGGCCGTGGCTTGCAGGGTCGGTGTGTGGTTTGCAGCTTCTTTAACATGGAGCGAAGGAGTGAGTTCCTGATGTGAGGGGAATGACCTTGGGGAGCAGTCGTACAAGGAACAAGGTTGCAATTTGGGCTAAGTCGTAATGGATGATCCACAAAACAGGAGAGATCTAGTTTGGATGCTGCCATCAGCCTTTCGTCCCAGCAGTGACAGTCTGTTCACCAAAATGCGGGAGCGCCTGACCGCCAGATCTCCAGGGGCTTTTCAAGAGCAGTGGTCGCACAGCAGCGCACAGCCTGCCTGGGGCTGTCTCTCCTGGCAACCCCCCTTTTTAGCAGAGCAGAGGAAGGTGACGAGAAGTCTCGTGCAGTTCACTGCTCCTTCAGTCCCACCCATCTGGAGAGAGGCAGGGCCTCAGCAGACACCGGAGGTGCCCACTGCTCTGTCCCACACACCTTTGTGCTGTTTGATGTTTGTCCTCGTGAAGGTGGTGGTGGCAGAGCAGCTGTACTGAAACCACCGCGGGATTTGCCCAGTCATTTGACAAAGACCTCATTGCGGGGTGGGGGAAATTCTGTCTGTCCCCTATTTTTCTGTATGGGAAGGACAAGTGAACAGCATCCCACACGAGCACTCGAAACACTGGTCAGAAGGGACATCCCGGAGAATTCATCTCCAAACAACAATATTAATGAAGAAGAAAAAGGAAAATACACTGCATCAATAAACCCTGCCAAATGCCCATTAGAATGCTGAAGGATAATGATATGAAACAATGAATATACCGTGTCCTTGATGATTTTTAAAAAAGGTGGTTTCCTTTTATTTCCATGTAAAACTCTTGTTGGAAAGAGTAGTTAAAACACAACAGTAAAAGTCTGTCTTTTCCCAATAGCTATGGTAGGTTTACGTTGCTTTTGGAAGGTAACGCGATGCATCTGGCCATGCCAAAGACAAGACTGCGTGCACCAGCTCCGCTGCACAAAGCGCACTAACCAGCAGCAACCAGCTATTCTATGCAACATTTTCATTTCCCAGAATTAATTAAAGATCGAACCAAACCAAATCCTCCATATTTCTTTACCAGTCTGTGTTCCTGCCTGGCAAAGTAAGCCTAGAGATTTGGAAAGTATAGCGACTCCTTAACCAAGTCCTAGCCAAGAAGAGTTGCAGAAGAATGTTTCTGTTTCTTGCTATTAAAATTCAGCACATTCGCTTCCTTTAATGGGTCCTGGCAATTAAACTGCTGACGGCCTTAGTCTAGCTGCCTTTACAGTGTGCCTGTTCCAATTATTGCAGTATTCCATGCACAACCTGTTTTTTAAAGCGTGGACTATGTTTGTCACGCTTTGGCCCGTATGTTTCCTTCTGAATTGGGGTGACTGGGGGAAGGACTGTTCTCCAGCACCACTCACAGCAGAGATGCCAGGGGAGGCAGCCCCGTTCCTGCAGCCGAAGGCTCTGATCTGCCAGTGCTCCCATTGCCTCGCTGCCAAGGCGCCCAGGGAGAGCATCGGTGCCAGCCGAGCGCTGCCGCGCTGGACCCCAAGCTCTGAGCGGCGCTTCCGGGGGAGCACAGCCAGACCCGGCACTGCCCGCACAGGTAACTCCAAACCTCTCCCTGAAAGGCAGCTTTTGGGGTTCATCGTTGAATTTAAATTCTTCTCCAAGCCAGGGTGATTATTCCTTAGATTAATCACCCCTCATTTCTATTCCTTTATTCTCTCACTTTTTTTAAATTGTGTTTTTACAGGCTAGCTGTGGTTTTTAAGTCTCTCAGTTTCTTCCCATTTTTGAGGCCATAGTGAAATATGAATGCTCTTAGCACTCTCCTCTGCAGTGCTGGCTGACTTCTGAAATTAATTGTGCTTTAATGAGAAGAAATTAATGTAATCTGATTCTGATGCATTGGTGGTGTTACATTGCACTGGGTTTCAGAAGTTAGTAAAACTTGACTACATTAATGTGAATACCTGAAGGACAAGAAAGATATTTCAGATGTAAAAAATAGTGGTCCGGGAGGGCAGTTTGCAACATCTGTCCAGCTTTAGTTTCACTTGTTCTCTTCCCTGTCCCTGGAGGCTGGCCGGGTCAGCCCCGAGGGCTCTGTGGAGCTGTTCTTGCAGAGACAAGGAAGGAGCTGCAATGGGTGAGGTGTGGAAATGGGGAAGATACTTTAGGGAAGGTAAGATTTTTCTTTAGAGCTTTAATATAAGACTCAGCTGTCCTGTCATGCCTGATATATGCCTTGTTTTAGCGTGTCTGAGCCCATACTGGCTGCAGTCTCCGAAGCTGTAAAATCAATATAATTTTGTAATTGTGACTGCATTGTGTAATTAGCAACGACGAGAGGGGGATTTAGCTATGATGGGAATCTAGGTAAGCTAAACTGTCGAAGTCTTGACAAGGATGCGAGACTGAAACAACCTGCTTATAAGGAGGAGCAGTGGTGGCTTAGGAGGCTTTTTGTCTTTGGTTCTTTGTTCTCAGTCCCGTTGGCCTGAGAGCGTTGCATCTCTGCCTGGAAGGTGGAAAGTTCCTGCATGGTCTCACCTTGAAGAAGGTCATAGTAGCTCCATCCTTCACTGCCCCGTACTCTATTTTTGTCTGCTTTGCCAAGTCATCTGCCGAGTCGATGGGGGATTCCATCCTCTCTACGGTCAGGAAGGCGGCAAGGTTGGCCGTGTAGGACGAGATGATAATTAGGGTGAAGAACCACCATATGCCACCAATGATCCGTGTAGACAGTGCTTTGGGCATCAGCTCAGAACCTGGCATGGGAGAAGGGGAAGGAGAAGGCGGGAAGAGGAGACAGAGAGAAAGGACCTGTTTTATATATACAGACGTACATATATCCATACATCTACATACATAAAGGATTAGGTTTCACTGTCGAAACTGTAAGAGCTACGCAATTAAAGCCAGCTGGTTTTGAGGCAAATTATCCAGACATCTTGCATGCAAAGAAATCGTGGGGTTTTTGTAGCATTTGCAGAAAAACCCTCTCCCTTTATTGCTGACCTTGGGTACAGTGCACAATTTACAGGAAACATTCGAACTGAAGTAATTAACTAGGCTGCTTTTATGAGATTTAAATAGCAAGCTATTTATGAACTTTTATGAGTGTTTTGTTCTGCCATTTAAAAAGTGCTTTGCTTTTATATGGATTACTTTTCAAAGGATTCACTCTAGGGAGTGTGTTCAAATACACAAGGCTTTAAAAAAATCAAACAGTGAGAGAAAGGAAATATCAGGGTCCAGTACTTTGAATACCAGTTAGAAGTAGGGAAGCAGGAGATGTTACAGCATAAAAGGTGTACAAGGTCTGGAATGACTTCTGTTGAGCAGACATGAAGGACTAAATGGGTTGTGCTATTTTTGTCATCGCCCAAGACACCTTTTAAAGCCAGGAAAGAGCTTTGGGTTTTGAACAACCGCGTTCAGAGGATATATCCAGCCTGGAATTTGCAACAAGATTGGGCTTTGCAAAGCAATTTTAAGCAGTGTGGCATCAAAGCATAGCATGGAGTGTAGCTTTTCTCCTATCTGAATCCAGCAAGGAGGCACCAGGAAGCAGAGTACCCATGGATATTGAGGGCTGCCTCAGTTCTTCTCAAGATCCTGCTTATTTCCCATTCCATCTCTTGCCCTTTGATGCATTGGATGGTGTGACATCAGTCTAGCTTTGAAATATTTTTCTTCTTAGATGCAGAATAGAGTTAAAAAGAATACAGCTCCTTTCATTTATCAGCATCTGATAAGAGGATGATTCATCCTGCTAAACCATTCTTGCTGGGAACTGTCACTGTCCATCAGGGCAGCCGAGATCTGGGAAGAATCTCTGTTACACACTGCAGCAGTGGCAGCAGGAGGAGCACGGAGCAGTAGCACTGTGCGTGGCACCAAGCCGATGCTGTGGTTCTTTTGCTCTCTGGGTATAACTGCTGATACACGGTAAATTAAAGCGTGACAAATGTTTGACATTTTCCACTTATTTCTATTCCTGGATTTTCTGCAATTAGATCACAGCTGAATTTTGTTCCTTATTCGGAGCTGCTCACAAGCTCCCCCTCTGCTGTCTTCCTAAAAGATTTACTCTGTTCATTCCATCTCTGTATATTCCATTTGCTCTATTCCATCCACATAGATGAATGTAATCCCATCCATATCCCATTTCTAAGGTCCCTGTCATTGCGGTATTTTACACCAGTAACACTGAAAACGTTCAGTCTCGCACACAGTGGCTGCCAGGCAGAGTTGCCTGGAGGAGCTCCTCGTCATCCTCTTTGCCCCAGCAGCCTTTGCCCTGTGCTAGAGGGAGTTTCAGGCCATTTCACAATGCTCAGAATGACCAGATGAGGATGAAAATGGAGACAGGCCAGAGGGCAAGATGCCTTGTCTTCTGTAAATGCTGACTTAAAACAGAGCGAGCCAGGACAGAATTAACAGGAGTAAGAATTTACAGATCAGTGGGATGCTGCTGAGTTTGGTGAATTAAACAGCGGAGGGAGATGAAGGCAGTGTTCCTCCTCGGGGCACGTGGGTGGGTGCTCCTCTGTGCGCACCAGCAGCAGCACACGTGTGAACACGCCGCCACTCCATCATCTAGCTGTGCGCTTCCAGATGGCAGACTCAGGAGCTGCTCCTTCTGACACCTGCCAGATCGTGCACGCTTCATTAATAGTAATTATTGTTACGCGGTAGCACGTGTGTGCCAGCCGCCAGCTGCAGCTCGCGGGGCGAGCGATGAGTCTGTCCCTGGAGCTGCGGGGTGAGCAGCTGGGACAAGGGCTGTGACCCACAGAAGGTAGAAAGCACAAATAGAGGCAGGTGCCAAAAAAAAACTACCCCAAAAACCTAGACGACCAAAAGCTCCGTCCTGCTCTGACACAGAAGAAATCGGACGGCTTTCTTGGCATAGAAACCCTGGAGCTTTTCCTGGAGCGCCCCAGACAGGGCTCGGCCCTGGCACATGTCCCCCTCCATTTCTCCATCCGTGCTGTGCGGGCGAAGTGGCACGGCTCAGTGGGTGTCTGTGTGGAGATGAAGTTCAAAGTGAGCGAATAACAAACGCAGTCACCAAGACTGCAGACCACAGCTGGTTCCCCCAGTCTCGTGAGCCCGTTGCTGGCCTTGGCCCCAGCCAGAGGCTGCCTGCCGCGCACACAGCGACCGGGAGCAGCTCCCTTGGGTGCTGCGGTGCCGTATGGCACATCTCCACCAGGAGCAGCACGCGCCGAGGGGTTCCCAGCACAGCGGGTCCCAGGAGGTGCCGGAGGAGAGCTGCCTCCCCTCTCCCACACCTCACCGCCTTTCAGCGGGGAGCCAGGAGCTGGTGCTGACAAGCACTTCTGTGCCTGATCGGATGTTTTATCTTTGTCCTGTCGCAAACAAAATAACACTTCAAATTTAAAAAGCCACGACAAAAGGCCTGTGCTGGAGAACCGGCGGGAGGGTGTGTGGGCGGGGAGGCGGCGCCATACCTTGCTGCATCAGTGCTCCCATCCCAAACCAGAAGCTGTTCAATAGGGTGAAGTTATTCTCCACGATGTCTGATCCTGGGTTGCAGGGATGAGCATCGTACCACTCGTATGGGCTGAACCTACGGCGGCACATGGAAAGCGAGAGCTTGTTAGTCGGGATGTGGCATGACAAGACCCTAAAGGAACAGGAAAAAAAGATCCTTAATACATCTCATGCTGCTGTGTGGGGCCTGCTGACCCCTTTGGTTGTGCGGCTTATTGAAGAAAGAACAAATTCAGCCAAGATTTTCCGAAGTGACCTGCATGGCTGTAAGCCCCATGTCCTGCATTGCAGAGAGCAAGGAAACCTGGGAAGCCAGGTCCTTCTGAGGTAGCTCAAGTTGCTTCCCCAAAGCCGTCGTTCACTTCGGATCATCTCTGCAATGCTACATCACACGACAGCAACTGGAGCACACGATGATGGGATGGGATGCGGTGCGGATACACAACCTCCAGTATGTAACAATCCCAGAACATAGGGAAAATGGCATTTCTAGATTGACTGAGGAGAGATGCTGCCGTGATTCTGCAGTGGCAGCTGGGACAAACCGCAGTATTTCATGGGACCCTCCTGCTAGTGCACGTGGGAATTGGGGCGGGATTTAGCTCAGTGAGAAGCGGGACTTTCCACTGTCCTGACAAGCAGGAATCCGGCAGGGCCAGGGCACCAGCACAACAGTGGAAGCTGCTGTAGGTTTGTTGAGGCCTGCTGTGATGCTCGACCCCGTTTCAGGTGTGGGAGAACATTTCTTCCCTGTGAGGGCATATTCCCCCCTGCAGCTCTTGAGCAAAACTGAGGCATTTTTTCTCTGCAAATCCTGCCTAAGATTGGTAGGCAAGTGCCGCCATGAACGTAGCTGTTTTAGCCAGGATCTGGGGATGATGCTTAACAGGAGAGACATTAATATTTTTAGAGCAGTTTATTTACATTTTCTGAGAGTCCCAAATTTTGCAGAGATTAAATTAAAAACATAATTGGTATAATTGCTTTTGAACCAGGCATTAATTATCATCTCCGCTTCCTTCTGAAATCCCTGTAGCTTCACAACAGCCCTTTCTCAAAGCGCAGCCCACAGTTTGTATTAGGAGATAATTCTCTCTGTAATTCTCTGCCAGACATGCTGCTACCCAAGGTGCCTGGCTGCTTAATTTCAGGGGTGCCCTCAGTCAGTCGGACAGTTGGATGTGTTTGGAGAGAAGAGCCACAGCTCCTTCCCAGGTGCCCCTCCTGGCACAAACATCTCACCCAGCCTCTGCTCTGCACAGTTGCACCGTGAGAGTCCCCTCGGAGCCTGACACACTGGGACATTCTGAGAACACTGAGCTGCAGTCCCCGGGCATGGGAGGGGCAGGGCAAAGTGCAGGAGGGTGTCCGTGGGGGAGACCCCATCAGGGGGGAAGGACTAGGTGCACTGCTGTTTAATGATCTCTCCTTTCCCCTCCTTTTATCTTGACTTTCTGCAGCGGGGACTGTTGCCCGCTCTGGGTTTGCAGAGTGCAGAGCCAGAGGCCTCGCTCAGGCTGCGCCCCGACAATGCTGCTCCTTTGTCCAGGTAACGGCTGGGCTGTTCTTAGTGGCCACCCCCCTCTGCTTTTTTAAATAAGTGAAAATCAGAAAGGAAAACAAGAATCAGGCTGAATTCAGACCTATTCAGGCCACATGCTGCCTATTCCTTGAAACTTCCTCTAAATTTATGCCAGAGGTGTGTATAGGACAGTGCCTAAGCCCTTTCTGTTGAATAAAGTCAGAGTTGAAGAACTAGATGAAAACTTTCTTGGGCTGCCAATGAAAGAATATGAGATGGAAGGGGAATTGGTAAGATCAAAGGAGCCTGACAAGATGACGCATTGAAGAACTTCAAGGTCTGAGTGAAAATCTACTGGTGCTGCTCAAATTACAGAGAAATATTCAGAAAACTGCAAAGCAGCTACAGTCTTCAGTGCTTGAAAAGCGCGTGGGACCGTTAGTGGAAACAGAGGGGTAATGAAGGAAGGAGCGAGCGGAGCTCGTTGACCCTGTACAGCTGGAGCAATAATAAATGGGGACTGCTCAGGATTCACCATGGGCTGATTTCCCTCTTCCTCAGGTGCAGAACGGGGTCTGAGAAATATTTCATCAAAACCTATGGTTATTTTCTTGTCTCTTCTTGGCCTTTTTGGCAGGGAAATGGGAACATTTCAAAGAAGGTTTAAAGATCTAACACAAAATACTTTTGAGTCTAAATTGCATCTCCAGAGAAATTTCATATGGATGACCCAGTCCTCATTGCAATTAAGATGAATGTTAAACCCACCCGCCCCATTGTGCACCCAAAGGTGATTAGCTGTAATTTGAAGGCCGCGCGAGTCTGAGGACGGGTGACGATTCAAGTCAGCCAGCTGCACAGCCCACTCGCAACCTCGCACCAGAGTCACCAGACAAATTACCCCCTGAAGCCTTATAAATTGCAAGTGTTTATGGCTCTTTGGGGGCTGGGGTGGTTAGGAGCAGAAGCTCCATCAATAACTAAGAAAGACTGATTAAAAGGGGAGATGGATCAAATACATCCTTTGCCTGCCTCTAAATAGTCCCTACGTTGCTTTTAAGTGGCATTGACCTATGATTATAGCATCAGCAGAGGACTCTGGTGCCTAGTTCAGGAGACTCATGTCTTTGAATTAAGGCTTTGCAATTTTGACTGTAGTTTTCTCCTGAGAATGGAATTTTAGAGGCCCTGCTGGGGTCAAAAGCAGATATCGTTTCCATTACTTCTGAATGCAGTAAATATTTTCCCCACAAAATCTCTTGCTTTCCATCTCTCTGTGTTAAAAAGATCATTCCTGCAGAACCTTAATTACATGAATGCTTAGTGTTCTTTGAAAGAATGGGAAGAAAGAAGAAATGTCAAGAGCAAAACAGGTGAAAAAGAAACTGCAATTGCAGTATTTCATAGGTTCAATTTCAGCCAAAAAATAGTCTGATGGGGAAAAACTGTTGCATTACATCATAACTGCTATGGTGTAGAGAGATTATGAGGCTCATTTCAGAACAAAACCAGAGACTAAACCACAGTTCTTCAGGTTTTCATCCCTCAACACCAGCCACAAGGCCCTGTGCAG